AGTAATGTCTTTCTGTTGAAAATTGATTCTTGGGAAACAAGGGAACAGTGACCCCCTGAGGAATCTAGAAGCATCTATGACCTGACATCCCACGCATCTGAAATACCAAGGAGAAGGAAGACGGAAACATCAGGTAGGGCCTGACTGCCAGATGTCAATCCAGTGGGAAAGGAAGTTAGAGAAACCACACAGTTCCGATGGACCACTGCCTTCACAGTGACACCCTGATAGGTGCCTGCTCCTGGAGGCAGCACGGGGCTACTGGGCCACCAAGCTGCTCATGTGAGGTTGCTACTCAGCTGTGTGAAAGCCTGGGAACCTGGATCCCACAGGTGAGCCACAGGGTCCAGGTTCTCGCAAGCTGGTCACATCACCCACCGGGGCTTGGTCCCAAGAAACACAAAACAGCCCTTCTCCAACTGTGATGCAGTTCTGCTCAGCATAAAAGAGAATCATAACTCAAAGTGGTAAATCAACCCTCCAAATTGTTTGGGAGAGGAGAGAGAATTTGAGGCTTAGAGTTGAACTCAAGACCAGCTCCCACTAGATGGTAAAACTTCACCTTATCACAATGCCTGTGTGGAAGAGAAAGGGAGATCAAGCCAGACTTAGCCCTGGCCAGGAAGGGGCAAAATCAAACACAGTGCCAAGGGGACAGTTGACTTAACACTCCAGTTTGTACACAGACGTCCAACTTCAAAGGGCACAGCAGTTCCCCCCTTCCCATCTGTGTGCTGAATGTGCTGTGTGCTGTTCAAGCCCCCGTTCTCCCACCCATCCTGTTGGTTTTGTTATGATTTAGTGAAAACCAAGAAAATGCTTTTGTGTTCTTTTTAAAGCCAGCAACAGAGAACGGTGCTTGCCCAGATCAAACATCTTAATTAAAATACGTCTTAACCTGATTTGACCCCTTTGATGAGGTAAGTGGCATGAGAAAGTTGCTCATCTGTTAAGACCAAGGGCCATCTCTATGTTTTATTTCTCATCTTCCTGGCCCTAGGCTGATCTTTCAGGGACCCTAAAGACACAAACGGATACCTCACTCTGCAGATGACAGAGGAAGTGACCAGGACAGTTAGGGACTTTCTCTCTCTTTCCTTCCCCCTAGAATGACATACAGGTAGTGGACTAAGGTGCTGTCAGGATGTTGATGGCTTACAAGCATCGCTGCTAAAGGCAGCATGTGTGGCCCAGCCCCAGGGAGCATGTCCACCCCTACCTCGATGGTGAGAGTCATCTGGATCTTCTCTGTGATTCTGGTGGCATCGGGTCATACTTCCCCTTCCACATAAACTCCAGTTGCAGAACATAGCCCGTCCACCCACTGAGAGAAAACAATGCACGATTCATCTGCATGTACTTGTCTGGAGGGGAAGTGAGGTCTGTGAGACTGACTCAAGAATGCCAAGGGTGTGGGTACATGGACTTCTGTGATCATTTGGGGTAGCTGGGCAAGTAGGTATCTGACCCAAAGAAAATATGGGGTTTAGAATAAAGAATCTCAAAGAGGGGAAGACTTTCCAAGTCTGACACTATTTAATCCCCCTGTAGTACACTGAATAATAGTCCCCAAAAATGCCCCAGTCCTAAAGCCCAGAACACATGACTATGCTATGTTATATAGTGAAAGAGACTTTGCAGAGGTGATTAAATTAAGGAGTTTTAAGTGGGGTGATTACCCTAGATTATCCAGGTTAACCTACCACAACCACAGGGTCCTATAGTAGGAAATATAAAAGCACATGGCCATGTGCCCATCAAGACAGACAATGGAGCAAAGGGGCCACAAGCCAAGAGACACCAACAACCACCAGAAGCTGGAAGAAACAAGGAACAGATTCC